AGAGAGAGACAGAGAGAGAGAGACAGAGAGAGAGACAGAGAGAGACAGCGACAGAGAGAGACAGAGAGAGAGAGACAGAGAGAGAGACAGAGAGAGACAGAGACAGAGAGAGACAGAGAGAGAGAGAAGGTAGCTTGGCAGGGCGTTGGTGGCTCACATTTTTAATCCCAGCACTCTGGAGGCAGAGGCAGGTGGATCTCTGTGAGTTCAAGGCCAGCCTAGTCTATAGAGCGAGTGCCAGGACAACCTACAAAGCGATACAGAGAAACCCTGTCTCAAAACCGCCCCCAAAATAAGAGAAGCTGGCTCTTCAGGTTCCTGTTTATAAACATAGAGTAATTGAAGGGAAATGTGCTGTTACAGGATTTGGTGTCATTTGAGGATGTCACTGTGAACTTCACCTGGGAGGAGTGGCAGAATCTCGATGATGCTCAGAGGGTGCTGTATAGGAATGTGATGTTAGAGACATACAGCAGCCTGGCGTCACTGGGTAAGTATGTCTCAGGAGCAAGCACTTTCAGTAGCACATATATGAGCAAATGTGAGATTTGAAGCTGTTTAGGAGTAAGATTCTAGGCCATAGATTATGATTGTTCACTGATGTTTAGTGAAAAGTTCACATTTGCATTTGTATTGCACAGATCCTAAAACCTGCTTTTGTCTTTCATCAAAGAACCTTATTAGCAGAATTTTTCCAAGTTCTACATTTTTTATTCACAGGGTTATGCATCCCTAAACCTGAGTTGATCTTCAAATTGGAACAGGGAGCAGAGCCATGGACAGCAGAAGAATCTGCAAACCAGAGACTGCCAGGTTAGTTGTACTCATGGGTGGGGAGTTCATGTCTAGCATAGGTTGGCTATTTCACCAATTTATCCCAACTTCTATATCTGAGGGCTCAAACTTGTTCATTACATTGTCTTGAATATGTTCCTACCTTTCAGTTTGATGAAAAATTTCTAAGATTTATCCCTGAAGTCTAATCTTTGATTTCTGTTATTTGATATTTTTCTCTGGTACTTCCTTTTTCCATAGTTTCAGTTGCCTCTTTTTTTTTTTTTTTGAGACAGGGTTTCTCTGTGGCTTTGGAGGCTGTCCTGGAACTAGCTCTTGTAGACCAGGCTGGTCTTGAACTCACAGAGATCCACCTGCCTCTGCCTCCCGAGTACTGGGATTAAAGGTGTGCGCCACCACCGCCTGGCTTTCAGTTGCCTCTTACACTCCAATCTCATGGGGATTTTATTTTCAGACATTTTGTTTTCATGTTTTTGTTTTAGCACATTTAAAAAATAATTTATTTAATTTGCATTGATGTGAAGGTGTCAGATCCCCTGGAACTGGAGTTACAGACAATTGTGAGCCGCCATGTGGGTGCTGAGAATTGAACCCAGGTCCTCTGGAAGAACAGCTAGTGCTCTTAACCACTGAGCCATCTCTCCAGCCCCAGTGTTTTAGCACATTTTAATGAGACAGATTTCAAGTGCTGGTCATTTTATGTTTGTACATCAATAAAACAATGTAAAAATAATGTCCTCATTTCATGGAATTAACGTTTTGATAATAGACGGATAATTTTATTTACAATGAGGAGTCACAAACAGCTATATGTAATGTTGAACCAGAGTATGAGTAACTGATGGTGTTGAAAGCTGTGCAGTATTTCACTTAGGTAGTTGATAAGAAAATAAAGAAAGAGATCTAGAAGTTAGACTTGTAAGGCATGATCTAAGAAATCACAAAGAGGACACAACACAGGAAGAGATGTTCCTACTTGAGAAAGAATCAAGGAGCAGTGAAACAAGTTTTATATTGAAGAACTCAAGACTTTTTTTTTTAATGGATCTATAGTTTGGATACAACACTTCCCTCTATTTTCTTTCTCTCATTCTAAAGCAACAAAGATAATGAGAAATGGCAGAAGATTCTACCTGTTATGAAACTAAAAGAAGTAAAGTCTCTGTAAACATGATAACATCTTTGAGAATCTATGGATTATCATACTTAGGGATGTATATCCGCAATTTGTGGGTGAATGTCAAAGCTCATGATATCACAAGTAGCCAGGTATTTTAGAGATGATGTGCAGCATACGTATTTCTCCAGGGTGGTGGACATGTTGTTCAGTTAAGACCTCAATTACTGGTATCTGTTGTGTGTGGAAGTGGATAGGAAGAATTTCATGTTTGAAAATCTCACAATGCATGATGACTCCTGAAGTAATAGTTCTAAACAAATAAAGATGCAAACTCATGGCTGTAAGGGAAGCTTCAAGTTAGGAAGCAGCTTATTGGACTTTTCTCATAATCTGCAAAGAAGATTTTCTAGAAATTATTGCCCCTTTTAGATGAGAAATAAAGAGAATGTCAGAAAGAAGGTCATAATTGTCATATATCAAAGTATATACAAGAATAGAACATTGTAAAAAAAAAGTAACCATTATCTAAGTGGAAAAGTATACTTAGCAATTGGTGGATATTTTAACAAAATAGTTCTTCACAAAAATAAAATAAAGTGAGGAGACATATGTGAACCTATCAGTGTATTTTAGTATATCAAAAGATATAACACACCTGTTTAGCTCCAAATAAACACACAGATGCTTATATTAATTATAAACTGTTTGGCTGGTGTCTCAGGCTTCTTTTTGGCTATCTTTCTCTTAATTAACCCATAACTATTAGTCTATGTGTTTCCACATGGTCTTGGCTTACTGGAGAATGTCCAGCATTCTATCTTTCCTATCTTACTGGTAGCTACATGTTTCTCTCTGTGTCTCTGTCTCTCTCTGTCTCTGTCTCTCTCTGTCTCTGTCTTCCTCTCTTGGCTCCCTCTCCCAACTCCTTCCCTGCCTTTCCACTTCCCAGCATCCCCATAGTCTGGTAGCCCGGCCTATACTTCCTGCCTTGCTACTGGCCAATCAACATTTACTCATCAACCAATAAGAGAAACATGTATTCACAGCATACAGAAGGAAATCCCCCATCTTTAAAGTTTACAAGCTAATACTTAATATGATCTTAATAAAACAGGATGCTAGTAGGATAGGAATAAATTCTTCCACTAGAAAATCTGAAGTGTAATTCACAGAAATGAATTTTTTTTGGTTCTTTTAGGCTTCTGCAATGTGGATGGCACAATTGAGACCAACCAGAAATGTCAAGACAGACATTTATGTCAAATTACTGCTAGTAGCCACAATAGAACAACTGAGGAAACAAATGGATTAAGAAACAATTTTTATTTGTGTTCCATGAAAATTTCAAATTTTGTTGTAAATAATAGAGACTGTTCAGGAGTGAAGCCCGAGGAGCTGAATGAATATCAGAATACATGTCTTCCTTCTGAGCCTCATGGGATATATACTTTAGAGCAATATAATGACTGTTGTATAGCAGGGGAATCCCTCAAGTGTCCTGAGCAATTTAGTCAACATTCCCAGATTCAAACTGGGCAGCAGGATTTTGAATACAATGGAAAAGATACAAAGGAGGCAAAATTATTGGAAAAAATTATTTCATCTAATAGGCTTCAAATGGGACTGACTTTGTGTAAGCATAATGAGTATGAACAAGTCTCTGTTAAGTCAGATGTCATGGTTAAGGTAGGGAAGGCAACTTTTGATAAATCATGTAACCTTACTGAAAACCAAGAAACATACTCAGGGAGCAAATTTTATAAATGCCTTGAAAGTAAGGAAACCTTTACTAGCAAATTAGATCTTACAGTTCATCAGAGGACACATAACCAGAACAAAGCCTATGTTTGTATCCAATGTGAGAAACTCTTTAGCACAAAATCTTCCCTTACTATTCATCAGAGAATTCACACAGGAGAAAAGCCCTATGGATGTAGTGAATGTGATAAAACCTTCAGGCAAAAGTCAGCCCTCATTGTGCATGAGAGAACTCACACTGGTGAGAAACCCTTTGAGTGTCATGAGTGTGGTAAAGCCTTCCAACATAAGTGGTATCTCAAAATGCATCAGAGAACTCACACTGGTGAGAAACCATACCAATGTAAAGAATGTGGAAGAGCGTTTCTAAAGAAGTCATACCTCAAAGTGCATCAGGGAACTCACAAGAGTGATAAACCATATGAATGTGAAGAATGTGGAAAAACCTTCCATAACAGGTCATACTTCAACTTGCACCATCGAACTCACACTGGTGACAAACCCTATGCATGCAACGAGTGTGGAAAAGCCTTTTACCAAAAGTCAGACCTCAGGAGGCATCAGAGAATCCACAACGGTGAGAGATTACACGAATGTAAAGAGTGTGGAAAAGCCTTTCAAAATAAGTCATACCTCAAAACTCATCAGAAAGTTCATACAGGTGAGAAACCCTATGAATGTAGAGAGTGTGGAAAAGCCTTTCAAAACAAGTCATATCTCAACAAGCATCAGATAATTCATACAGGTGAGAAACCCTATGAATGTAGCAAGTGTGGGAAAACATTTCAGTGGAAGTTAGTCCTCAGTAAGCACTATAGAATTCACACAGGTGAAAAGCCCTATGAATGCATTCAGTGTGGGAAAACATTTGGCTACAGATCATCCCTCATTGTACATGAGTTGATCCATTCTGGGGAGAAACCCTATGAATGTAACATATGTAGAAAAACATTTTCACAGAAATCAAACCTAATGAGGCACCAGGGAACTCACAGACATGGGGTAGTATGATGGTAATGGGTACAGAAAGATAATTGCCAGGCATTTAAGTCTCAGAATGCTTCAAAATGTTCAAACAAGAATTCACTCAAGTGTGAGTAGTGTAGGTTGTTCTTTCTCAGTTAACATGAGAGAACCCATAAAGGGTTGAGAAATGTTAGGAATGAATGTAAAGGAAAGTTTCACCAGAACTTGCCCATAAAAATGTTATGAGAAAACTCACACGAGGAAATTTTTATAAATGAAATACATGTGGGAAAAAGTCACGCACTACAGGTCTAAACTTGGAATGGATCTGCATATTTATATAGGAGGAAACATGAATATGAAGAATATAGAAGTTTTATACATGTTCTTCAATGTGTCTGAGATAACTCACATTGGAGAGGCACTTGGTGAAAGACATGAATGTGAAAAATAGTTTTTAATAATATAATTGAGCAAATATGAATATAATTAAGGTTGAAAACCATTTTGGCATCATTCATGTCTTATTATGCATGAGCAAGTCCACACTGGCAAAAAATCCTTCAAGAAATCTAATCATTAGAAAACTCCCTGGAAGTCTTTTCTTGTTAAATATGACATAATCCTGGGAGGAAAATCTCTGTGGATGGATTTTTTTGTGGCAGTGTTCCAGTAGAAGTTTCATCATAGGATGGGCCAGAGAACTCACTTGAGAAAGGAAGGCCTATAATAATATTGGAAGCCCCTAAACTATATATCACATCTAAGCGGGTATCAGACAGCACAATCTAAGAGCAGTGTGGAAGGGGATCAAGAACATTTAGAAATCAAGCACTCTCATACACTACAAAATGTGTACAAAGGAATAATACTGAGTAGCAGAGTGGCTATGTGTACCCTAGAAACCATTTTCTTTCTCTTGCTTTTTTTTAAGGTTTATTTTTTATTTATTATGTATACAGTGTTCTGCCTGCATGTATGTCTGCATGCCAGAAGAGGGCATGAGATCTCATTACAAATGGTTGTGAGCTGCCATGTGGTTGCTGGGAATTGAATTCAGGACCATTAGAAGTTCAGCCAGTGCTCTTAACCGCTGAGCCATGTCTCCAGCCCTAGACACCATTTTCTTATCTCTGGACATAGCCTGCAATTCTCAGCCTCTGCTGTGGCCATTATAAGTTAAGTGGGTTCCCCTGGAAGACTGAACTCAACTGATATTCAGTACTTTCAGATTTGGCAATCTCCCTCCAAACATCAGGCAGTTTTTTCCAGTTTATGTCAAAGTGAAGTGAAGGTGACCTTAAGGACATTCTTACAAATATTGGTGGGAGACATATGTTGGGATTTAAGAATTGGTTGAAGAAAACAGTGATCTTTCCCCTTTATCTTTGTACCTTGTGCCTGGCACATTAGTGTGAAATAAATGTACTGTTTAGAATTCCCAAGTGTGATCTGTTCTCATTGTATTACTAACAGGTCATTCTTGATAATTCACTTTATGAATACTGGCAGTCTTTCTGAGAGCTGTGACATTTATCAGTACATTCATACAGAAGAGAAGCTTGCCTTGTCATTCTTCATTTCCAGGTTAATTTAGAAGAATCAGTTGCAGAGAAGATTACATCGAACCATTTTTGGGAATGCTTTATATCATCCAGGGGTATCTCACTGAAGAAAAAAAGTTAGATAATTGTCAACTATTTTTATACTATTTTCATTTTTATAAGAAATTGTAATGAAGAGAGACTTACCAACTTACATATTATACATATATGGATACAGGTAATTTAAACATAACTATTTCAACAAGAAATATTTGAGTATTCACCATGCACAAATCATGAGTGGTGATACAATCTATGAGGATTCCTTTGACTAAGTCCAGAGGCATTCTTGTTTACTTAACTGGATGTTGGGAGCTGCTGATCATCAGCTCCTGGGTAGAGGCCAGGGATCTGATATATTACTTAAGAATCACAGAGCAACCCCCCTCAGGTTAGCAATTCATGTTAGAAATTTCTCCTAATGATACCTTCACTGTGATATGATAATACATACAGCTCATATAATAAATATTGTGGCCAGGCGGTGGTGGCGCACATCTTTAATCCCAGTACTCAGGAGGCAGAGGCAGGCGGATCTCTGTGAGTTTGAGACCAGCCTGGTCTGCAAGAGCTAGTTCCAGGACAGCCTCCAAAGCCACAGAGAAACCCTGTCTTGAAAAACCAAAAATAAATAAATAAACAAACAAACAAATAAATATTGTGACAAATAGTATGCTCTGCCATTTTCTCTTGCTGTAACAAAGCAATCGTTTAGAACTTTATCAGGAAATTAAATTTATTTTGATGACAGTTTCTTTTTTTAGGTTGAAAATCCAAGATCAGGTTTTTCATCATTTTAGCTTCTACTGTGGGCCTTCTTTGCTGTTGTAGAATGTGTTGAAGAGTTGGAAAGGGAGCAAGCTCTGTACAGAGAGATAGCAAATTGGTCCTGCATTAAAAATAATACAAAATTTTGGGACTAACTATAAGATTAGCACTAATTTCTTTTGTGGCATTTCCCTTTGATCCAGTTCCTACTTTCCTCCTTCCATCACCATCTAGCAGAAACTCACCCACCTTTCAACACTACCACACAATGGGCCAAGTTTTGCCTAGCACATATTTTTTTCATTAAAAATTATTTTTCATTTTACATACAAAGTTCTCTTCCTTTTCTCCTGTTTCCCTCTTTCTACCCACTCCCCCATCCACTCCTCAGAGGGGGTAAGGCCTTCATTGGGGATTCAAGAAAGCCTGGCATACCAAGTTGAGGCAGGACTAAGCCCCGCCCCACTGTATAAAGGCTGAGCAAGGTATCTCACCATAGGGTATTTGCTATAAAATCCCCACCCTTCACTGGTTCTGGGATAGCTGGTTCTGCCCATTGATGGATACTGAAGCAGGAGAGCTGGTCCAGCCCCTCAGGAGAGTGTTGCCCCTGCCCCTGCAGTCAGGAAAGATGGTCCCACCTAGCCTTACAGGCATGCACCTCATCTGGGACACACACTAACTCTTACCCTGTGGTCAGAGACATAGGTGAACCATCCCTGAGGGCATGAGAGCAGGAGCACTGAACCCCACCCCTTGTCTCCATGAAGTAGTATGGCTGAGAGAAAGATGCCCTCACGTCCTCACTCATTACCATCTGGAATAGGTGACAGAGCTGGACCCAGGGTTACAAGACTGAGAAATAGCCCTGATACCCACTGGCTGTTGCACATAAAGACCAAGCTTTTGCACACTACACTATATTATTCTACAGTTTCCACGAAGAGTCTTCTCTCAGTTTTTTTTTGTCTTGATTTTGGTTTTTCTTTTAAATTTGGTTTTTGTTTTGGAGAGGAGAATATTTCAGTGGCAAGGGACAGGTGCATAAGTGTGATCAGAATGTATGAGGTGAACTCCATAAAGAATCAATAAAAGTTGGCCGGACGTTGGTGGCACACGCCTTTAATCCCAGCACTCGGGAGGAAGAAACAGGCAGATATCTGTAAGTTCGGGGCCAGCCTGGTCTCCAGAGTGAGGGCCAGGATAGGCTCCAAAGCTACACAGAGAAACCCTGTCTGGAAAAACAAAATAACCAACCAACCAAACAAAAAAATCAATAAAAGTTAAAAAAAAAAAAAACAGGAGGTATCACCATCCCTGGTTTCAATTCGCACTATAGGGCTGTAGTAATAAAAACTGCATGATACTGGCATAATATCAGACATTCTGATCAATGGAAACCTGATTCTTTTAAAGAAGCCAGAGATATACAAGTGAAAAAAAGAAAGCCCATTCAACAAATGGTGCTGGTCTAACTGCTTGTCAGGACATAGAATAATGCAATGTGATTCACATCTAATCTATCATCATGCACAAAACTCATGTCTGGTCTCAGAGCTGTGCCAAGTGGCCCTGTGGTGGATTCTTGTCCTTCCATCATCTAGATCTCCTCTGTGGACTCCTCACAGAAACAAATATTGGCCTCTCAGCAAGGATAATGCAGGAGAAATAAAGCAATGTACATTCTTAGCACCATCCTGAGATGTTTGGGTGTTCCCATGGCCCCCATTGGCCAACAACTCAATTAAAAGAATGCCATTCTCAATATAGGAAGCTTCAATTGGTGACAAGAGTGGGGCCATTTTGCCTACTATTTGGCGATTTCTTTTAGATCAGCTCCATGTAAGTATGTACTTTAGGAAGTTTCTTTGTATTAGGCTTCCATAGTTAATTTTAAATAGCCCTCAATTTTAGCTGTCTCTCACCATATTCTCACCATCACTCCCTCTTCCTCCCCTCTCCCTACTTGATGCTCTCATTCAAGTGCCCCCATCCATCTTTATCTATTGTATTTCCCTTTTCAAGTATTTCTGTCTGTTCCCTTACTAGATATGTAACCTCTGGGGTTGTGCAGACTGGGGCTTACTTATTATTGACAGCTTATATCCACTAATAACTGCTTAACAGTTAAATCCACATATAAGAGAAAGCATCCTATATTGTCTTTCTGGGTCTGGGTTACCTCACTCAGTATGATTTCTTTCTAGTTCCATTCATTGACATGGAGATTTCATGGTTGCATTTATTTAATGTCTGAGTAATATTTCATTGCATAAATGTGCCACACTTTTTTTTTTGTTTTTTGTTTTTTAATGTTTCAAGACAGGGTTTCTTTGTGTAGCTTTGGAGCCTATCCTGGCATTCGCACTGCAGACCAGGCTGGCCTCAAACTCACAGAGATCCTCCTGCCTCTGCCTCCAGAGTGCTGGGATTAAAGGCATGCACCACCAACACCCGGCTGGCTGTACCACACTTTCTAATCCATTCATGTTTTGAGGGACATCTAGGTTGTATCCAATAGCTGGCTACTATGAACAAAACAGCAAAGAACATGTTTCAGCAAGTGTCTCTGTAGTAAAACCTTCTCCAAAGGCCTCTCATGATCTCACACTGCCAAGCCCGAGCTGTTCTCCATGACCTCGTCATGCATGTCTGCACAACCATTGCCTCCTACACTACCAAGTTCAGTTACAACCTCAGGTCTTCCTCAGGTGCAACCTCAGGTCTTCTGGGAAACAGCTTCGGTGTGTTCACCTTGAGGAAACACTTCCAAGAAGACTTCATCTCAATGATGCTGGTGTCTTCATAATCACAGCTGATTTTTGAACCTGAGCTGACCAGCAAAATTGTTCAAGGAAAGCAAGGATTTTGCTTTAGTGGTTCTGGTCTCTGGCTAATCACAGCTATTTAATTATCAGCTCCAGCTGACCAGATGTCACAGATTCTTCACACAAAAGGTCTCATAGTGTCTTTGCTTTCCTCTGAAACGTCACAACCCAGGCTTCCATCATCTCAACATTCTTACTTTCCATGCTATAGAACAGGTCATTGGGCTCTCAACACTCAATGGCTGTTCTAGCCCAAAGGTCCTAAATCTTTCCACCATTCATCCCAAAACATCACTATCAGTTGTGTTACATCCATATTCTGTTTATACCTACTATCCTGATACTAAATTGTCTTATTAAGAGTACTGTTGCTGTGAGGAAACACTTTAACCAAAGCAGTTTTGGAGGAAAGGGTTTATTCACTTATATTTCCATATCATTGTTCCTCATCAAAGAAAGACACGTTAGGAACTTTAAGGGTGGGAACCTTGAGGACATGGAGGAATCCTTCTTATTGGATTGTATCTCGTGGATTACTTAGCCTGCTTTCTTGTAGAAGCCACCACCCTGTAGCAGCCCATGGAAAACCCTGCCAACAGTGATCTGCCATTCTCCCTCATCAATAATTAAGTAAGAAACGGCTCTATATGCTTGCCCAAAGTCCATTCTCATGAAGGCATTATATCAACTGGTATTCCCTTCTCTGTAGCCTGTTTTAAGCTGGCATTAAAAAATGTTAGTCAGCACAATATGAATCTGTGCTCTTGCTTGGCACCAATAGGATAGTGTATATATAACAGATATATATGTGTGTATGTATACACACACACACAGCTATATAATATTTTGTGCTAGAATATAACTGAGGTTCTTTAACATACTTAAAATGGGATCTAGAACTGAACTAAAGCTTTACTCATAATAATTCTGACAACTTTGCAAAAACAAAGAAACAAAAAATCATCCTTAGTCATTAGGGAAATGCAAATCACAACAACTCTGAGATACTATCTTACACCTGTCAGAATGGTTAAGATAAAAAAATACTAATAAAAGCTCATGCTGGAGAAGATGTGGAGAAAGGGGAACAATCCTGTACTGCTGGTCGGAGTGCCAACTCATACAGCCACTTTGGAAATCAGTATAGTGGCTTCTCAGAAAATTGGGAATCAACTCTACCTCAAGATCCAGTATTACCATTTTAAGCATATCTTTAAAGAATGCTCAATCATACCACAAGAACACGTGTTTAACTGTGTTCACTGCAGCATTATTTGTAATAGCCAGAACCTGGAAACAACCTAGATGCCCATCAACTGAAGAATGGATGGAGAAAATGTGGTACATTTACACAATGGAGTACTACTAGTGGAAAAAAACAATGCCATCCTGAAAGTCACAGAAAATGGATGGAACTAGAAGAAACCATCCAGAGTGAGGTTACCAGACACAG